GCCAGAAATAAAAATCTGCCAGGCCAAGCTTCTCCATGTCAGGAGCCTGAGAGCTGCCAGGATCTCAGAGCATGACAGAGGCAGTCTGTGATTCATATGCATTGGGTCTGGAGTAACATTTGGCAAACTAAAATTTGTAGGATACAATTCTCATGAGAGTATGGGATGGGTCCCACAGAAAGGGACCTCCTTTGATGTTCATCTGGATATCATATAGGGCGGTGGCCAGTGGCACAGCTCACCTCCTCCTGAATGGGAGAAGAGATGTTACGAAGAAAAACCTGCTTGCCTGCTTTCTGAAGAGATGGGAAGAAGAAAATCAACTCAGATTCTGAAAGGATAGGAAAGCATCAACCCCCATCCCCACTTCAGCAGGACTGCCTGGGAAGGGGAAGTGATGTTTGGCTGGTTGTACAGTGGGTGTTGTTTTGGAAAAAACTTGCTTTCTTTTAAATGCCTCCAGCCAGGTCAGGGAGAGCAACTATTCCAAACAGACTGCTGCAAGCAGCTGGCTCAGGATCAGTGCTTGTCAATGACATCTGGCTCCTGCACCCCAGTATTCCTCAATTCTACCCCTGCACTGCCTATCTTCATTCCATGCAGGGAAAACCAAAGTGGCATCTATCAGTTATTCCAACAGAGTCAAGAACTTCTAATACTTTAAGTTCAAAATAAGAGTTTATTATGCTTTGTCAGGAAATGGCTGATTCCAGATAACTCTTTTTTGCAATATCTACTTAAAAACTGATTTGAAACACATACAGGCATGAAACAGCTTGTATTGTTTTTACTGCATTTCTTTTGATTGTGGTACACCGTGGAAGAAAAACAAACACATTCAAAAAAGCAGACACTCCCAGGCTCCACATCTGCAAAGTGCAATAGAGTTGTTTAGGTCTCCAGACTCCATCCTGTATCTATTTAAACATAGACATTTCTATATTTATATGAAGGCTCTTGCAAGTGAGGGAACAAAACCTGGTCCAGACTCCACTCTGGAAGGTATATTCAAACTTGGATCTCTTGCTAGAAGCACCAGAGAGAGTGTCTCCTTGGTTTTGATTTATAACAGACCAAATTATAAGTGTTTAATCTGGAGAACTGGAAGTCTCCAATGTCTGCACATGGTCAGTGGACCTGATATTTCTTTTGTGCTACCGTTGCCGTCTGTGAGAGACAGGAAATCCAGTCATGCAGGGGTCAAACCTGTTGCAAATAGGGACTACGTTCCCTCAGAGCCCTGCTCTTTCTTCAGTGACATTTTACTGAAAGCAAGATGCTCTGAACACATTTTGGGTGCAACACACTGTTCTGTTTTTTTTGTTTTGTTTGTTTGTTTGTTTGTTTGTTTGTTTTTTTTAATGAAACCATTTTGGCAAATACTTCCTGACCAGCTCTATTTTGCTCTCTGATTCCCATCCCTTGAATGGTACAAACAAGAAATAGAGAGGCCTAGCTACTATCTACTCTTTTTTCCTGACAATTGTTAGTCCAAATTGTGTTATCTGGCAGCTGATAATTTTTAAACACATCACAGGGCATATTTATTTCTCTTCTAACAGTGTTCACAAGTTATCTTGCTTAGTTAAAAAACAAACAAAAAATCTGAGCACTGGCATAATTTTACCCTTTCTTAACATAATCAAATTACTTCTGGTTTTACCCCAGTCTGTCACATTAAGTCCCACTTTATTGAGTTGTCTGACTGCTATTTGTATTGTAGCAGTGCCTAAAGACTCAGACAAGGAACGTGGTCCTTTTGTGAAGCACATACACTAAGGATCCATTATTATTTTGGGTGTAGATACACTTCTCTTCATAATTACATCCTGAGCTGTGACAAAGCGGCTGCCAGGCAACACAACTGTCAAAACTACATTGCAGGGCATTTGGAAAGCACAAATCAAGTGAAATAATAGAAATGTTTGGACCACAAGGTATCACACAGAACAGCCAGTGCTTGTCATATTTCTTATATCTGATCAGCCTTGGCTAAAGCATCCTTATGTCATAATGCCCTTTGTCCTTGCAAAAGGGCTGGTGCTGGTGTTGCCAGTTGGGGCTCCCAGATCTCTCTGGTGTTTTGAGGTCTGCAGCACACTTTTTTGTCTAAGTTAGGGCTGCAATTGTCCTATCCCTTTTCTGTTTTTGTGTCAGCAATAGGCATCATGCAATGGGCCATATCACTCCGCTAAAACAGGTGGTTATTTTTTACACCTAACCTTTCAGATCTGGCTAATGTTATGGACAATGAGTGTTGATACCAGCAGGAAAGAGGTGGTGGCAGACTGTGGCTGGAGCAAACCCTGTCCTTTACAAGAGTACTGTGTTGGCCTGATTCATGCTGCTCATCAAATCACACACACAGGATGCAGTTAAGCCGATTTAACGACAGACAGCTACTGAAAGGAGCAGTTCTGCTTTACCTCACTTCCAGGTTTCTGCTTTCCTCAACCCTGCAGCTGTGTGGTCACAAGGTGGATCAATTCAGCTGTCTGCCCAATGGAAAATTCATTATTTTCTGAGGTGTTATTTTTCCACCAGATCAATCAACTGAATAGAGTCTGATGGTTACCAGATCCCACGTAAGGGCTGCAAAGGGAGTACACACCATGTGTTGCAGGCAGGATCACCGTTTCACAGCAGCCTGCTGTCAAGTCAGTGTAGCCAAATGGCCAGGCTGCTGCTGCTGCATTCAGATGCCATACTGATGCTGGAAGGGGCTATTCTGTGTCTCAGAACCCCTGACAGGTTGAGCACATCTGCCATCTTTCTACTATGGGTGCCTCTGTAATCCCAGAGAAGCTGGTTTAGGGAGCACATTAGTGATGAAAAAACCTATTCCTTTTTTCCCTCAAGGTTAGTTTCATGGTTAAGCCAGTTCCCTGTGGGGCTGGAGGAGTACTAGGGTCAGTCCTGTAACCAGTGGGACCTCTTGGCTGGGACAAGGTAATGTGGCTGTGAGATTGGCTTGACTATAATGTCATTTCCTGAGACATTCAGGCATTCATGAATTCAACCTGGATGAGCAGGTCAGCCTTATTTGTAGCTCTGAGGCAGAAGATGTAAGGGAGCCCCATATTGCGATCAGCTCTCATCTAATAGAAGAATAGAGTCTGACAGAGAGAAAGCAATACCTGTACCAGAAAGCAATATCTGTATCAGAAAAGGCTGATTGCAGAGACTTAAATAAAGCCCCCATAATTCATGGAACTGAAGGAATTGGTTCCTGGCATCGAGGGCTCTCTTCCAGGGATTAGGATTACCTGAATGACTGGAAGCAAGTCATTGACCTGAACTGCTTGGTTTCTCCAGTATCAATCCTGTCATGGAGGATGAAACACTTCTTTGACTCAAGAATCCACTGCGAAAGGAACTGAGGTGGTCTTCAACCCTTGCAGACATAAACAATGTCTCTGGATCATAGGGTAACCCAGGCATGTGGGAACCCCAGGAGGCTTCCAGCCCAGGCAGGTTGAGCGCTTGGGGGGGTCACACCAGGCTGCTTGGGGCTTCTTCTAGCCTGGTCTTGACAGCCTCCAGGAGGAAGCCGAGGCCACCCGGGTCCTGGAGGAGCCCGAACCCCTCTCGTCTGGGCTCGGACCCGCCGCCTTTGAGCGGGCTGGCCGCTGTCCCCCGTGTTCTCACCGCAGGTGCGGGGTCTGTGCCGGGCGGTGGGGCCACGGCTCAGGCGGCGGTCCCCGAACGCAAAGGAGTTAACAGGACTTTCTGCCTCTTCCCGCCCGCGCCTCCTCCACCCTCCTCATTACCTGCACTTTATCACCGCGGGAGCCGCGGCGTGGAGCGGGAGCGGTGGAGGCCGGCGGGGCTTCCTGCGCCGCGGGGCTTCCTGCGCCGCCCGGGGCGGTGGGGCCGGGCGTGCGGGGGAAGGTGAGCGGAGCGGTGCCGTGCGAAGGAGCGCCTGACCGCCCCGCCCCGGTGTGCCTGCCTGTGGGTGGGAGCGGCGCTGGGGCTGGGGCGGACGAGAGGGGAAAGGCGGGCGGGCAGAGCGGGAGGGCGAGCAGGGTCTGCGCGCCCAGCCCGGGCAGGGATGCGGCATGGCCGTGGCATCCGTGAAGATCGCCGTCGCCGTGTGAGGGCGCGGAGCTGGCCCGAAGCTTGGAACCCCAGGCGGCGGAGCACGAGCCGGCTGCAGCGCGGCAGATAGCTGCGGGAAGCTGCCCTGCGCGCTGCGGACGGGGCTCAACCTGCGGAAGGAAGAGCGCGGCCCGCCGCCGGCCCGGGTGAGTCAGCTGAGGGAGTCCGCGGCGGCCGGGCAAGCGGCCCCCCGGCGCCCATTCCGGGGGCCGCCCTGCCCGGCCCTGCCCTGCCCTGCCCGCCGGGCCCGGCCGAAGCAAGGGAGGCCGCGGGCTGTTTCGGTGCTGGCCCTACCGCGGGGGGCGGGCGGGACGGAAAGAGGGAGAAGGGAGGAAGGGAGGGAAGGAAGGATGCCCGGGAGGCGGCGGGGCGGCACCTTGGCAGCCCTGGGGACCAGGGTGCCCGCGGGTGGCTACGGGCTCGGCCCACCGCTGCCAGCTCTGGTGAAAAATGAAATAACAGGAAGGGTGAGCGCGCGTCCCTGTCCCATCTCCGGGTCCCTCGCGTGCCCTTCCCTCCTTTTCCCCTGCTTTCCGCTGACAGGAGGCACAGCGCGGCTGTGCCCGGACACCAGTGCACACACGTGTTACAGCAGCGAACTCCAGCGTGCCCGGGAGAGTGTGAAGCCGGGATGGACACACCCGGCCCCCCGCCTCGCGTGCCTCGGGAGACCGAGGCCGTGGGATCAGATGGGCATCGCGGAGATGCCTAGCCGAATTTCACTGAAGTTCACACATTTTTCAGAAGGCTGGTGGTGCGGTTTTATAGCTCAGGCAGTGCTCCGGTGAAGTACAGCCTGACATTCCTGTGGCTGGGAACTGTGGTGGTAAGCGGCCACTCGCTCTGAGCTCTCCCTGTTGTGACTGGAGCCGTATCAGGGGAGTGGCATTGCCATCGGGTCAATGACGGGTCGATCAGGTCAAACCTTACTTGCGGGCCAAGGCTGGATTGCAACCCACCGCCTGAACACTCTAAATGAAAGGGTGGGTTTACCTGCATGGGGTTGGGTTGTCTGTGTGATAATCAGGCGAGCTGCTGTGTGGTTTTGGTGCACTGATAAATACCTGTGCAGGGAATTAGCGGGGGGAGGTCTGCATGGTGTGTGTTTTTACCCTCATCAACTTTGCAGTACTTTGCCCATGTAAATAAATGCTTTCTCTGCATAGGGAAGTTGTAAAATATAGTAGGGTGTGAATTTCAAACTTCCTGGGTGAATGCTTTGTTATGAAAAGGTATACATGCAAGGAAGATTAATTTCTTTCCTCAAGGACATTCAACCCACAGAATAAAGTGATCTGTATGGAGATGCCTAATGATTTTTATTGTCAAGTGAATTAGTAATTTGCCTAACAAGTTGTCCATAAGAACACAGAGCCAAGTGGATTCAGTCAGTTTTAAACAGCCAGGTCTTGTTCTGCTCTAAGAAGATGTTTGCAACAGACATCTTTCTTCCAAGAAAGATGAGTCCTATCCTGAATTGAGAGTAGTTTGTTCCACTTTTAAAGCATACTACCAAAGAAGTGAAGTGTGCAGGGAGGATGAAAGAAGCAGTGCAGAACTGCTGCTGGTAACAGTGTTCATTTGCAGGCAGGTCTGAAACACTGCTTTAGCAAAACAAATTCATGAGGCTTCAGGGAGACACCATGCAGAGCAGCCTCAGCTTTACTCTCATGGCTATTCCTCACCACCACTGAAAGCATTTGACAAGTGCGCGGTACAGCAGTTACTCTGTAAATATTTGCAGTGGGTGAGTTGACATCCTGGTGAGAAGCCTGGGTAGCTCCTGGGTCATGCAGCTCCTCATTTGTGCTTGCTGAAGCCTTGGTCCCCTCTTGTTTCACACAGTCCCAGCTATGTTCTGTGTTACAGACCAGCAAACACAGTGTGACAGATTTACTGGTGGTATCACCTATGGCTTCTCCTCCCGGTACCCTGTGGGTCATCTTGTAAAGTTTTTCTTGAACTGTCTGTCCTAGTAGGAAGAAGACTGGAGAGAGGATAGTGAGTTTGTAAGGCAGTCTGGAGTCAACCCAGCAGATCTATTAGGAAGAAATGCTTTACTGTGGGGGTGGTGAGGAACTGGAACAGGTTGCCCAGAGAAACTGTGGATGCCCCATCCCTGGTATTGTTGAAGGCCAGGTTGAATGGAGCTTTGAGCAACCTGGCCTAATGGAACGTGTCCCTGCTGATGGCAGGGGAGTTGGAACTGGATGATCGTTAAGGTCCTTTCCAACCCAATCCATTCTGTGATTCTGTAATCCTGTATCAGTGGGCGGTGCTGCATGGAGGTGCTGTGTGGCACCAGCAGGACCTTCAGACCAGTGTCTTGGTCCTGTGTGGAGAATGGAAACGCTGTGCTCTGCCTTCTCTGGGTTTGCAGGGACTCTCCTGTGAGTGCCTGGTGGGGTGTTCTGAGAGGTAGATCATACTAAGAGTCCAGCAGTGTTGTCGATTCACTTGTTCCCTTTGGAGACAAAGTGGGCACCTGGAGTGCATGGAGGCTCTCTCCCACATGTGCTATTCTTCAGGGAGCAGTTTGTTTCTGTTAGTAGTACCCTGTGTTGATTCCTGTCTGCTCTATGCATGTATCTTTTCCCCTCAAAAATGGACTTTTAGGGGCATGACACTTTTCCCATATTTCTATTTAATATGAAGAATATGACAGTCATATGAAAATGACAGTATTTGGGAGAGGAAAGGGATATGTTAGAACAGTAAAATATAGCATTTTTTATACACCCCACTCCTATGGACATATTTAAACATAACTCTTAAATTTAAAAAGTCTTAAAATAAGTTTGGGGAAAGGTTGAGTAACACAAATGTGAAACAAAGATTCCTTTTTTTCCCACCTCAACAAAATATTTCAAGTTAATCCAAAGTTAATTTTCCGAGGGTTTTGTTTGCTTATGAAAAAAAACATAGTCTGATCTTCCTCTCCAGTGACTTTTTCTTTGTGCTTTTTTTGCTTGTTCAAACACCAAGCTGAGAGTCTTATTTGTCCAGCTGGTTTCACCAGGAGTGTTGCTCACTTAGGTGAGCTGTTTTCAAGTAAATGCTGACCAGCTGAAATTCTGGCTTGTTTAATTTCCTTGAAAAATATTATGACCCCTGAACAGGGGGTCTGCTTCTGATGCTGACTTGCTCAGGGACTGCCTGCAGTGCAGTTTGATTCCACATCTATAAAGCACAGATAATCTACATGTGTGCATGCCTGAGGACTATGGATAATAAAATATAATGGAAACGTTAAGGGTACTATAATTGTTTTAAGGATGTACTTCACTGCATGCTGTTCAAATACTTCCTGTGCTCCAGGGGGAAGGAAAGCATTGGGTAGTAGAGGGTAGTATACATTTAAAGAACTGATTACATTTTGCAAAGCAGTATGGGGTGGAATAAATTTTTTAATCTGTTTGGATCTCTCAGTCCTTGGCCCTTGGCACTAGACTATCTGAAAATTGTGACCGGAGATGGGGATAATTGAAAATACAGTGTGACAAAATAAGATTTCCTTCTTGGTTCAGTGACCCCAAAACTGGAGAGCAGGTAGTTGTTTTTTGCTTTCTGTGTTGGGATACATCCAATACTAATACGTATAAAGAACTTGGAGGTGGAAAAACAGCTTGTAGAAAAAGTTGTAGCAACCATCCTACCTGGACATTTCTATGCTGTGTACTGAATACACTCCGGTACACTCCACTGCTTCAGTCATTTAGATTAAACTGACCTCCAGTTCCTTGGCTAGGGAAGCCCAATATTTTTTTTAAAGCTCCTGAACTTCTACCTGGATGTTGGTCTTGTCCTTGAGGGTGTTTTTTTCTTAAATTCAGTCTTAGGGCAGGCACAGCACAGAGACCCAAGATGGCACCAGTGATCAGACTGCACTTGTACAGTGAGCTGTGAGGTCTAGGTTTTACTTGTCATCATCTGCTTGGAGGTTCTTTATTTCTGCTGCAGAAAATAGCAGAAAATGACCCAGTCTTTTGCTGTGGGAGTTGAGCGTGTGTCAGAGCTTGTGCAGAGGCAGAGGAGAGATCTGTTGTAGTGGGTCATTGTGCCCTGTGGGACTATTCCCCTCTGCCACGTCCTTTCTCAAAATCTTTGGAAAGACCCTTCTGTTTTCCAGTTGGCCTCCTTGAGTTATGTGTTAAGTGTACATGTAGTAAGCATGAGTACTTTGCTTGTGAACTGTCTTTACTGCTTTTCCTGGTGCCTGCTAAAGACATTTTCTTCTCCTCCCCTTTTTTTTGTAATTAGTGATGAAATACAGTTCCCTGCCTCTGGAAGCACCAGCAGTGAGGTCCTGCAGGCACATTAGTGTAGCAGTCACTCCATCATGCCAAAAGTCCTTTTCACCACACTCAGTTGCACTCTTAATGGAGCTAATGCTGCTCCTGAGAGAGCAGAGAAGTGCTCAGAAGGAGGAGGAATTGCCTTGCACATACACAGACACACACATTTTTAATCACCTCTTCTGCTTTCTGGGCTCATATTTACACACAGATAAATACTGTTATATGTGAGCATTGATGTTGCTCTTTGTCACAGTAGTGGACCTGGAAAACCTTTTGGTTTTGGTGTCAAACCCCATTACTCTGATAGTGTGAAAGATCTTGCTGTTCGGTGCAAACCTTCGCCATGGCATGTACCTTTTGGCTTGATGGAAGTTGAAGAGATACTATGACTATTTTCTCTTCTGAGACCCTGTAATTACTTTTGTGAAGTTCCTAGAGGTCTTCAGCCAGGCAGGTGTTCTCAGACTGTCTTCACCTTAGCTCTGCTTTGAGCAACTACTTTGCTGTATGTTTATGTCAGGATGTAAACTGACTGTAGGGTTAACGGGTTGAAAATAAACCACAGGAGTTAGGGTACAGCTGCTAAAAGTCTTCATGAGTTCAGGGTGAGACTGGAGAAGTTCATGGAAGAGAAATGTGTTGAGCATACATAATCCTCATCAGGCACAGAAGGTTCCTGAGCTGAAAATAGCTGGAGGGTTGGAGAGTATTAGAGATATCTATCCTATATTCTGGCACTAGCAGTTGTTATGCTGTTGGAGACAACTCTTCTTTGGCAGGGGAAAAAAATCAAACTATATGCAATCTGTTTTAATTAAATGAAGTATCCGATCCTCTCAACCTACATTCTGCTAAGCTTTTCCTCATTTCTTGTTAGAAACTTTCAATTACAAATGTCATTCATGTAGCTGTTCTCTAATCAATTCATTTGGCGATTGGGGAAACTCTAGTGTTGTCAATGAGGTTTTTGCCACGACATTGGAAATTGCCTGCTGGAAATACTCAGAATTTCCAGTCCTTCTTTCCATGGTTACAGTGTGGTGGTAGTTGACAGTTACGTTTTGATTGAGCCAAGCATATAGATCTGCCTGGTACCCAGGTAATCTCACAAATGACTGGCATTTATGGCAGCCCATATCCTTGTTGGCAGCTTCTCATCTTCATAGTGCCTGAGTGACCTTGTATTTCATGCTGCTGAATTACACTCTTTCCCTAATATTCCAGTTCTTGAAGTCACCTAATCTTCCTGTATGACGTTCTGTTTACATAGGTTTTGACAATACCTCAAATTTTGTGCCATCAACACATTTTAGTAGCACTTTTATGCTCTTTTGACCAGTGCTGTTAATGAGAAGATAGGAAAAAAATCATGAGAACAATTTCTCTATGTTTGCCTATGTTTATATATACTATAGAGGCTTTAAATTTGACATTTCTTCTGCATTAAAAAGATGCAGTGTTGTTTTGTGTAGATGCTGTACTGACTGAAATCAGCACACAAAAATGCTAGATTGGCTCAGTGGATTGAAAGTTTTACTGTCAGGAGTATTATCAAAGTTGGCTGTTTGATATTGGTGACATTTTGATTTCAAGTCTGCCATAGAGGTTCTACTCAGTAACTTAATACCCCCATCACTTTGCAGTTATTATGTGACTAAAAATAGTCATGGTAAGTAGTCTTGAAT